ATTGCCCCGGAGCTCGCTTCCTCTCTGCCGGGGAGGCGGGCGGGGAGCGCCGGGGGCAGCCGGGCTGTGTGACCTGAGCCGCGGGGAGGCCTCCGGCGTAGCCGAGAGCCTGTTTGGTGACACCCGGTGTCCGAGGGCAATGCTTTCTTCTTGGACCTTCCCTCTTTTTCACTGTCCTACAGCTGCTGAGCTGACTCGATGTGTGTATACGCGCTCCCGTCTGTACAGCGCTGCGGCACTTTGCAACAGCTTTTGAAAGTGCTCAGAGCACAAGAAGTTTCTGTATATACCAGGGGAGCTTTCACGGAGGAATGTGCTGAGCCCTGCCCTGCAAGGGCCCCGCCTTGCAAACACCAACGATTAGCTGAGATTAGCGCCCCTGTGCCTTCTGCCTTCTGTAATCGGGGTTTATAATAAGCACTTATGAGAACAGCCTGGCTATAGGGTATTGGGGAGCTGCACAAGGAGAGTGTCAGAGCAACCCAAAGGGAAGGGGCAGTACAAAGATTTTAAATTGATGCTGGGATGTGGAGACTGTAGGATGGTTTCCGTCTTGACCGTTGTGTCACGGCTGAGAGGCCTTTTTCAGTTCTTGGGGTGGCTGCTTGTCACTCGGGTGACCTTGGACAAGTCTTTTTTGGTCTGCCCAAGTTCCAGCTTTGGCTGAGGGGGATCGGGCTATCAGCAACTTTGTGTGCTGTGCTCAAGTCCAATATCAGTAGGAACTGTTCACAGAGGAACGGGTAGGTGCCCAGCGGCAGGAGGAGGATTGGGAAAGTCAGTAGGAGGGGATTTCTGATTGACAGCATTTGGGCGGTGCAAGAGAGAGAAGGCCTGACTAGAGTAATGCCAGGGACAATTATCGTGGCAGCTTTGAGGGTCAATTGACTGATCCAACAACAACCAGTCTTTTACAATGTACTCTAAAGCCACGAGTAGCGTAGGGGAGGAATTTTTGCCTCTGTCAGCATTGTTTGCACGGTCCATCAGGATTTGAGAACATGTGCTTTTACTTTTCCCTGTTCAGCTGTGCACTCTCCGTTTCCCAGCGGTGGGGAGTGCTCTGACCTGCTGGGTTTTGCTTTGCAGACAGTGTTACCTTTTAAGGACACTGTGCAGGAGAGGGTGGCTGGGGGAGGCTGCAGGGAAATACTGCTTCTGTCTTGTGACTGCCGTTGGGGCTGAGGTTCGTTAATACGTTAGATCTGTAATCGGATGTCTATAGAAGGAGGAGGAGGAAGAATTGTCATGATTAATTAATTAGAGGTCCTGAGAAAAGCATGAGCTTTCTCAGAAGTCTTACATGCTATTTTGGG